TCAGTGTCTGGATTTATGTATGTCAAATTTTGTAAATGACAGAAGTTTGTAAATGGCACTATGGAAATTGTGAAATGACCCCTATTTTGGTGGAAATTAAACTAAGGAATTTGATGCCCCAATTTCCACGATTTTTTCCGCGCGTCATTTAATAAATTCCGTGGTTATTTTCCCTCATCCTCTTAAATTCCCGACTTTTAGTTCTGAGTTATTTTCCCTCATCCAAACGGAGTCTAGGTGTTTTTCGAATTTTCATATTGGAAATTCCTTCTATATCTTGTAACTTTCTCTTTTTTCCATCCGGATCTTTGTCCCCCAAAAGAATCTTTAAGCCTGCAATTCAGCCCAAACAAACTCTTTGGCTAACAGCTTTACATGTGACCATTCTCTGCCAATTTATATTGAGTGACAGTTCTGGACATACTATGCATGATATGTTACTCTCTTTGGTTATGAAATCAGTTGGTTAGGCATTAAATTGCATTGTTCAGTTTAGCCTTCTGAATCAAAATGCAGATCAAACGTACTAGGAGTTGGGATTCAGAAATATAAGTACACTTAGCTTGCCGCCCATCTCTTAAAGCCTCACTTATGCTTATGGTGTGTTAGCTTTTTCACACATAGCGTTTTGAACTTTGCCTTTGCTAATATATTCAATCAATTAAAGAGTAGTGTTTTAATTTTTGTATTTCTCGAGTAATTTGCTATTAAGTTACTTCTTTGTGCATTTCTAAGAGTTTTGTTGTTCATTTACTCTGCATTAACTTCTGCATAGCCACCTTGGGGGAAAGTTGTTAATTTTTCATAATACACTGCCATCTCTTGGTGTTGGCTGTTTGAACTGATAAAGATCATCCATTGAGACTACCAGAGGATCCTTTCTACAAGCAGATGGCTACAGAATTTACCAAGTTCCAGATAGGGGTAGATGTATATGCCTTCAGTGACAAGTACACTGACATAGCCTCATTAGGTATATAGTGGTGATTTTATCTTATTCTGTTTCACTATCATAGAACCAAAGATCAAGATGACGTAGGAAGTCGGAGTATCTTCTACTGATATTTCTCTCTGTTGATATGTTCAGAACTCCTACATTATCTACCAATTTTTAGTTGTGAGGAAATTTGCTTTAAATTTGGTTTTCTGATATTTGTTGCATTTTTTTTTAATTACAAATTTGTTGCATTAATGTTTGCTCTCCTCTTCTATGATCTTCATTTGCTATGCAGAAAAAAGTTCAGTCATGAGTGCATAGAAGTTGTATACCGGGGGGCAGGTGTATTATTACCCTAATTTTCAATCAACTATTCATGGAGAGAAGTTGAGTCATGAGTTAGCCAGAGACCTTACTAGGGAAACTACCTGGGAAGCAGTCATGTGCATAAGATGTGGAAAAGGTGTGCTATTGATGATTCTCCAGAACCACTTCAATTGGATTCACATACATATGTTATTTGTCTGTATTGAAATATGCTAATGTTTTGTTACTTGTTTATACTTCTAGGACTTCGCTTTACATCTTATCATGCGAACTTTATGCTAAGGTCCACCGACTTATTAGCACTTCCAGCTGTAGATTGTGATAAAGCATTGGGTCGTTACTAAGTATTCAGACAGTATATTTTCAAGTTGCTTTGCTGTATCCTTCAGTTTGAATGTTTGATTTTAAGTTTTAACGACATGCCTGTATGGTGCTTGTTTATCTTTTGATTATTCACATATCATGCTGTCAATGTCAATTATGAACACTACTTTTGTTATGACTGTTGGTATCTCTTTAAATTTCCATTATAAAATCATCTCCTTCTGACATTCTTCTTCCGAAGTTCTCTTTTGAGTTACATAATGAAGTTGTTTTATTCATTATACTCGATCTGCATAGTTGACAGTCTAGTTTAAGTTGCTTTGGTGGCAATTCTGCAATGGTATTGTGAAGGTTATCAACTCGTGAAGTGTCCTTAACATTTTAAAGATACACTGCATCCTGTGGAGAAAGGCGTATTAGAGTACATACAGCAGCAGCACCGGTGGTTACAGATCTGGGAAAGATGTACCCCCAGGCTGCTACAGGTGCCATTGTCACCTTGCTTTCCGGGCTATTCTAGTGGTATTGTATATATTGTGAATCTTGATTTCGTAAGTTGTTCGGAAATAATTTGCAGCAGTTGAAAAAACTTTGTCCCATAAGTTGGAAGATGCTCGGAACACTTTGCAGCTAAGAATTGTCAAAGCCCTCAAAGAATATCTCTATGCTGTACAACACCGCTTGGGAGGGAAGATGATATACCCAGAGTCTCTGCCAGTTAAAAACCTGTTAAAGCTCCTATATCCTTGTTTGATACGGCTTGATGAGTATCTTTTGAAGGTAATAAAATTCCATCAACTTAAGTTGAGTGATGTCATTTGGCAATCATTAAATTTGTTTCCGCTTCTTGTATTTGCAGGCATCTTCTGAGGCTAATGACTTGAAAAGCATAGAGAATAGGTTACCACTAGTTGCTGAGAGCTTAGATTCCAGAGGCCTCTATATATTTGATGATGGGTTTCGCTATGTTGTATGGTTTGGTAGAGTTCTTCCACCTGATATATACAAAAAATATATGAAAAAATAGGGGCTGCTCAAAGTCTAACTCTTGTACAAATATCTCAAATTTTAATTTTAAGATCTTTCATCCCCGCACCTTTTTTTTTTTATACAATCCAATAGAAACACACTTGTCAACTCTTCTAAAATGTCACCCATGAGGAACAATAAGTCTTTTATTAATTAATTGAATGTAATCTATTTTATATATGCACCAGGACCTTGATTTGTGGCTATTATTTTATTTATTACTGATTCAATGATCATGTGCCTTACAGTTGTTAACTTGTTATATATAAACATAAGCTATAGACTTCATAAAACCAAGTCTTTCTTTAAATAACTAATTTCATGTGAACATATTTTGCTGCTCTTTCCATGTTTCTTCCTATAATCTCCTCTCTGACTTCATTAAATTCTTCTCTTTTCTGTCATTCCTTCCACCATTGCATCTATCTTCTTGTTCATTTTCAGATTTTCAATTCAAAAAATTAGTGTCTTTAGTTATATAAGCATGACTAGTAGTGTTGTCCAGAATTTATTAGAAGCTGGAACTAGAAAGATTGCTTCCCTCATGCCCTTGGCTGCAGGGTTTCTTACATTTGTGGGAATTGAGTGCTTTGTGGATCAATTGGTTGCTCCAATCAAACCAATAATTGGGCAGTACATGGCCAAGTATCTGCTAGCCTGCAGTGGTCCTGTGGTGACCAAATACCTGGATATTTATGTTGCTTACATTCTAAGCTACAAGACCAACATTGAAAACCTCTTGAAACAAGTCAAGAAGCTCAAGGCTACAAGAGACTTGGTGCTGCAAGCTGTTGAAGATGCAAAGAGGAGGGGAGAAGTGGCGGTCAGAGATGAAGTTGAGAAATGGCTGAGCAGCGTCGACCGGCTCACCGGAGAGGCTACCAAGTTTTTCGAATATAAAGGCGACGCCAACAGCGGGTGGTTTTGTTGGTTGTATGGCCTGTTGATGTCGCGGTACCAGTTGAGCAAGATGGCAAAGAAGATGATAGAGCATCTTGTTCAGCTCCAAGCAGATGGAATATTTGCTAAGGTTTCTAATTGATTAATTTGTTAGTTAATCTTGTGTGATAATTGGTCTAAAAGTTTCAACTTATTTAAGCATATGTAATTCAATAATAATCTTCTGTCTGTTGTATTGTATTTACCTCCAAATTTATATAGTATCCAATTAATCATGTTTTCATTGGTCTAAGCAGAAAATTGCATAGCCTCCATCTCCAGCTTCCCTCCATAGCCAGATGGGTTTTCAAAGCTGAGAAAATGAAGAGATAATCCCACACTTCTTATGCTGAACCACGAGATTCCATGGCTATCTCTTTCTCTCTCTTCTCTTGTCTCTGTTTGTTTCAGTGTGTTTGTTGTCTGTAATTTCTCTATCTGTAATTGAAACCAAGTGCCTGCAGCAGCGAGAGAAAAAACGAAAGAAAGAAAGATTTCCTCTTTAATTCTCAAAATTGTTTTCTCCATAACTAAACCAGTTCATTCCTTAAATAGGCAGCCATGGCCATGCCTCCTCCTCGCGGCGGCCTCATACCATTTTACGCCAATCTACTCGAAGCTTGCTCTTCGTCGAAGAACCTCCAAACCCTCAAACACCTC